TCTTCCCGATCGGGGAGTGAACCTGCAACCTAGGAATGTGGCCTGACTGGGAATCAAATCCACATCCTTTCCGTGTATGGCATGATGCTCTAACCCAGTGGTTGGCAAACTAGCTCTCGAGCCACATGCGGCTCTTTGGCCTCTTGAGTGTGGCTCTTCCTAAGCCTTAGGAGTACCCTAATTAAGTTAATAACAATGTACCTACCTATATAGTTAAGTTTAAAAAATTTGGCTCTCAAAAGAAATTTCAATCATTGTACTGTTGATATTTGGCTCTGTTGACTAATGAGTTTGCCAACCACTGCTCTAACTAACTGAGCCACCCAGCCAGGACAGTAGAGCCTTATTTATTTATGTATTCACTATTTTTAAAAAATATATTTTTATTGATTTCAGAGAAGAAGGGAGAGGGAGAGGGAGAGAGAAACATCAATGATGATAGAGAATTATCAATCAGCTGCCTCCTGCATGCCCCCTACTGGGGATCAAACCCACAACCCGGGCATGTGCCCTTGACCAGAATCAAACCTGGGACTCTTCAGCCCACAACCAATGCTCTATCCACTGAGCCAAACCAGCTAAGGCTAAAGCCTTTCTAAATTAAAAATATTTTATTCTTGTTTTCTTACTGAAAATTAGAAAAATATAGATGAACAAAAATTACTCAAAATCCCTTTACCCATTCCCTAGCTGGTTTGGCTCAGTGGATAGAGCGTTGGCCTGCAGACTTAAAGGTCCCAGGTTCGATTCCGGTCAAGGGCATATACCTTGGTTGCGGGCACATCCTCAGTAGGGAGTGTGCGGGAGGCAACTGAATTGGTGTTTCTCTCTCATCAATGTTTCTAGCTCTCTATCCCTCTCCCTTTCTCTCTGTAAAAAAATCAATAAAATATATATTTTTTTAAAAATCCCATTACCCAGGGATATTGTCACTGAATTCATTGGTGTGGATACTTTCAGACCTTTTCTTGTATTTGTGTACGATGTGTGTATATGTACACACACATTTAAAAAAAAAAGGTTGTGTACATATATTTACATCTGTCTCTACATGTCTTTTAATAAAAATAGTGACATTCTGTACTTGCTCTTTTGTAATTTTTTTAACATGTCATATCATATAGTCATGCACACCTTTAGTGTTGTACAAATATGCCTTAATTTTAACCTCCCCTCTTATTCTTGGACATTTAGGTTGTTTCCATTTTTGTACTCTTAAAATCTTGCAGCACATAGAGCATTTTGGAAATAATCACAATTCTGTGATTTCTTTCCAGGCTTATTTCATTCCGGCAACTGGAATGCTTCATGTTTTGTCTCATTTCTTCTAAAGCTTTCCTGGGCCAAAAGAAGTGTTCTTACTTTGCCCAAAGGAGCTGAGGCCTAGGGAGGGAGAGTCTCTGCGTCTCACCGTTAAGCAAAGAAGTAGTTACACTTGTGGAGTAGAAGCTTCCTGTCTTACACTGTGGTCGTCTTTTCTCTAAGTTGTGTCCTTTTTTAACTCTAACCTTCTCCTCTCCAACCCAAATAAGCAATTTAATGACAGCTCTTAAAAGTGGGTCATGCCTATGTCATTTATTTGGACCTGATTATTAAAAATAAATTCTTACAACTGCTATGACCTAGCTACTGCTTTATAACTAAATCCAAATTTCAGAACTCTAGAAAAAAATTCTATAAATTTTCTTACTATGTATTTAATCAGGATTTTAAAAATGCTGTTGGTGTTAATTTTTAGGACTCAAAAATTCCAATGAAGCTTTGTGATGAAAAGATTTAAGCCCCCTTTAATTTTTTTTAATCCTCACCTGAGGATGTTTTTATTGATTTTTAGAGAGAGGGGAAGGGAAAGAAACATCGATGTGAAAGATAAGTATCGATCAGTTGCCTCCTGTATGCATCCTGACTGGGGATCAAACCCCCAACCTTTTTGGTGTACAGGACGATGCGCCAACCAACTGAGCAACCCAGCCAGGGCAGGCCATTCTTAATCTTATACATTATTCCTATGATTCCTTAGATTGGTCAATGCTTTTTTGACAAATTTATTACATACTAGCTCATTGTATACATTATTTCTGGCATCAAGGTGTAGCTTCAGAATTTTATATTTGAAATATGAATACTATTTTGCTGTTTGGGAGCCTAGCTTTGCTGAACTAAAGAAGCTAATCCAGTACTAAATTTGTTGTTTGTACTTGACAGATGTTCAGATTAACATAAAGCGTTGTCTTAGCGATGGATGTGACACTAGGATTCATGGTCTGAGGGCTGTTGGCTTTCAGAGAGTTAAGAAGTCTGGGGTCTCAGTGTCAGATGCTTCTGCAATATGGTATTGGTCCCTGCTGACATCTCTGGTGACGGCTTCCATGGAGACAAATCCAGCCTTTGTCCAGACAGTGCTGCGCAACACTCAGTAAGTTACTCTCTCTGCTTTCTAGTTACTTCAAGGTATACTCGTTCTTCTCTAACCCATTAGGGACTGTCACTGAGCAACCGTTGATCATTGATCATGGAGACCTAGTCAGCAGCTCAGCCCCAGATGCCCTGTTGTTTCCTGTGTATGCCTGCAACTCCAGACCTGTGAAGCAATCACACATGCCATTCCTGTTATCCTTTAGGTAGCAGTTGCTCACATTAATATAGCACTTTATGTTGACAAAGCACTTTCAGATGCTGTATAGTATTACAGACATATTATGAAATTATCTGTAAAAATTATCCCCATTTTATAGATAAGGATATTGTCATCTTCCCTGAGTACATGACCAGGCAGTGATGGATCAATTTGAATCTAGGTCTTTGGACTCCAAGTTCCAAGGGGGGCCCTTTTCACTAATGAATGACATCTTTTCAAGACCACTATACTTATTTATATTTAAATGTAGAGCACCTTAGAAAATCTCCTTTTTAAAAACTGCTAGAGCAAGATGACCCAGTAATAACATATAAGGCAAAACAACCAGCTTCAGAAGCAATGAAGTATTAGTATTGTATGTATAGAAAGAAACCTTATTTAACTACTTAGCACCATGATGACTGGGGAAAAAAGGGGATGTATGTTGTGTACCATGTTCTGTTTGTTTATAAGGGACTTACCGAGACAAGTTTTCTGATGATTTCTTTTTTGTCTGATACACTGTTAAATTTATTTTTTTGCCTGGGTTTGTCCTGATTTTACATTTTACCCTTCTAGGAAGGCACTGCAGCACATGCCTCCACTGTCCCTTTCACCGGGATCTACGGATGGCTCAACTTTCCTGTCTCCCAACGTTCTGGAAGAAGTGGACAGCTTCCTCATAAGGATAACTAGGTAAAGTCAAGGTTGATGGGGTGGGATTTGTGGGAAATAGAAGGTATATATGCTTGTTACATTTCTAAAAATGTATAAGATCTGCATTAAAAATGTTTCCTTTTTGGTATAAATTCCATTATCTGGTGTTATCACCTGACCTTAGGAATTGGGGGTAAAGAGGGAGTAGCCCTCTGATTCAGCTGGAACAGATGTCCCAGAGTACAAAGTACAAAGCTTCTCAGTTCATGTACATCCCCAGCCTGTGGCCTTACTCAGAACTGCTTACTCTGTGCACAGATCTAAGAAGCCTGACTGTCTATAAAACTGGGACAGGGCACCTTAATAGTGGGGATCACTTAGGGTAGGAACATTTACCTCTGATATAGTGACATTACTGTATTAGAATAAAAACCAGGCCCTGGGCCATCTGGATAGCTTTTAAAGTTTCATGGTCATGTGTTTGAAAAAGGCAGAATAATGTGATGTGCAGTTAATCTAAAATATGTTTTGGTGCTTGAAGAAATAAACCTTTACCTCTCTTGCCAAGCCAAATAATTACCCAAGCCTTTGTTTTTAAAAATAAGGTTTTATTGATTTCAGAGCAAGGAAGGGAGAGGGAGAGAGAGATAGAAACATCAATGATGAAAGGGAATCATTGGTCAACTGCCTCCTGCACGCCCCACACTTTGGACTGAGCCTGCATCCTGGGTCTGTGTCCTGACCGGGAATCGAACCATGACCTCCAGGTTCATAGGTCAATGCTCAGTCACTAGGCAACACCGCCTGGGCTACCCAAGCCTTCTTAATAGCAGAGGCTTATTGCAGTTGCTTATTTATGTTTGATTTATTTATTTTTGATTTGTAAAGTTTGACTTGTTAAAATTGTTATTAGTATTATTTAATGTTTACAGATTAAGGTTACAGAAGTGAGGATTTAATTATCTGATTCTCTGGATTGGTTTAGTTTTTCTTTTGTTTATCTTAAAGATTTTGAAAAAGTATTTCTGGTAAATGTACTGGAAGCACATGGCAGGTTGACTTGACTTCAGGTGAAATTCACATGGGGTTTGAGCTTACTTGGATTTTCTCATGTTAAGAAGTGAAGTGTTTTGCTCTTTGTTTATAGCTGCTGTTCTACCCCAGAGGTGGAGCTGACTCTCCTGGCTTTTGCACTAGCAAGAGGAAGTGTTGCTAAAGTGCTGAGCTCTCTGTGTACTGTCACAGACCACCTGGACACACACTACGATGCCTCGTCCCTCATCTCATCCATGGCATCAGTCAGGCAGAACCTACTCCTTAAATATGGTAAGGAGTGCCATAGGCATGATGGACAAGTCATAAAACCATTGTCCATGTGGGAATTTCTGGCATATTCTTATCTTTTTGGGTAATTTGTACACTGAGTTGTTGTAGATATACCACAATTCCTGGATGAATATACCTTCTTTCACTGAGGTTGGGAAGAAGAAGGGGGATGTTGGTTTATTGATGGCAGCATCAGCAGAAGAGAATCTGAGTGTCCACTAGGCTGTACTTCCAGGATTTACTGGCCTAATCACTCAGGCTTGGTAGCCATTTGGTCATAGCCATCTTTGGTGAAGTACAGGAGTGTCTCATTGTGTAGGCCAAGAGGGTTGGGAAGTTTGAGTACCTCTCACCTGCAAGAGGGAGGGAACTAGCCCTGACACAAGGCAAAGATCCTTGTCTTAGAATGCATCCCTATGGTAGCTGATTGGAGGGCATATATGGACATACGTGCATGCCTGCCACCGCTTTCCCCTCCTGGGCAATCCATCTTACCCTTTCTATTTGCCCAGGATGGGGCCTCCTCATCCTTCTCAACAGGGAAGCCCATACAGCTACTCCCAAATGACTACAGTTGGCATGTGAGGAACAACTTACTTGCCATTCAGCCTCTTGTGTTAAAGTTTCTGTCCACGAAGTACAGATTGGATCCCATCCTCTTCAGTAATAGAGCCATTATTATGATATATCCACTATGGTATTTGTACCTTTGCCTTAATATCAGTTAATTTATTTTATGTTTAGTTTTTGAAGTCAGACAATTGATGTCTTAAAAATTCAGGTTTTCTCCTAAATTTGGAAAGGTCATTTTTTGGAGGGGTGGGGGGCCCGTAGCAGTATGGCTGGATGGGAGGGATACATAGTGTCTGGAATATACTGCTTATATTCAGATAAGCAGCCATTTGGGCAGGGAACACTGGATAGGGAGGACTACTGGAGAGGAGGGGTGGGGAATGTTCATTATTGGTAATGTTCTAATTCTGGATTGGGTTAGAGGTTCATGGGTATTCATTATATTATTAAAACAAAGGAAAAAAGGAAAGTTTTCAGATAATCATAGCAAATGTTGATTTTTACAATTCTTAGAACTTTAAAAATTTGTCTGGAGGTGTTTTAAAGTAATAAGACTCAAACCCCTAAGACATTATTTATATTTTTAAATGCAATCACAATAAAAATTAATTATTGGCTCCAAAATAGTATTTTGGGAATGTTCCCACCTCCAAATATATTGAATCTATGGTATTAATCTCTACCTTACAGTTTGCTTTGTTTCTGATTAGTGGTTATTCTAGAGAGCTCTTCTTAAACTAACTTAGGGAGATAAGCTGTATTTTGTCTTCTAGGAAAGCACAGAAGATGGTGTCAACTGTTGTCTAATATTACTTCTCTGTTTTAACTTTTTAAAAAAATACTTTTATTGATTTCAGAGAGGAAGGAAGAGGGAGAAAGAGACAGAAACATCTATGATGAGAGAGAATCATGGATCGGCTGCCTCCCACAAGTCCTCCACTGGGGATCGAGCCCATAACCCGGGCATGTGCCCTTGACTGGAATCAAACCTGGGACCTTTCAGTTCGCAGGCTGACGCTCTATTCACTGAGCCAAACCGGCGAGGGCTGTTTTAACTTTTAAATGAATTTAAAAAATTTTTAGTCAGTAAATTTTTAGTCAGCTATCTGGGTGGCCACAGGTTCTCCCTTTCCCCTGGTGGGGATTCAGGCAATTCAGCGGCCTGTGGTGGCCTTCAGTGTGCCAGTTAGTCTCCTGCATATGTTCCCTTTCTAGGGGACATATTTAAAAAATATATTTTAAATAGCTTTCATTTCCTCATAGCGCTGGCTTAATGCACTCTCTCTCTTCCCTGTGACCAGGTAAGCCTCTCCAGTTGACTTTGCAGGCCTGTGATGTCAAAGGAAAAGAAGAGAAGTCGGGACCTGAAAACCTCCTTGTTGAACCGTGGACGAGGGATGGTGAGTGGTGGATCTGTTTCCAGTGAATGAAAAGAACCACAGTGAGCTCACTAGACAGCTTTGTGAAATTGCACGCTGGACTGAGATTTTCAGGATACGCAGTCATCACATCACGGTGCCCTTCAGATTGACAGTGGTCCAGAACCATTGGTGTGTTTTCTTCACTACGCACTGTAATCTGCTAGGTGTCAGTCACCTGTAAACAAAGTATTTGAGAGCCTTTGGAAAGCAAGGACTCTTTCTCTTGGAATACAAAAAGTTACATTTTCAAAGTTCAGGTTGTTTATTATGTTATCTTAAAGTTTAAGAAACTCAGTGGATCAGTAGCACTGTAGAGCTGAAAACATAATTTAAGAAGAGGGTATTTTCAGTCTGGCCAGTCTGGCATTTGATGTGTGGGAAGCAAGCCTCACTCCTTCCCTAGTGTCAGCATGATAATCACTGATGTTCTCTTCAATGCTGCGGTAGCTCTTTTCCTCACCCAGCGGGGTGTTTGTGAGTCTCTTCCTCGTCCATCTTGTTGGCCAGCCAGTTAGTCTCCTGCATATGTCCCCTTTCTAGTCATTTTTCTGCTTTGATTATTGCTAATTCAGTAAAGGAAGTGGAATATTCTAGCAATTGTGAAAAATTGAAAGGAATTGGCCTTACTGCTTTGAATTTGGTTTGTCCTTTGCTTTCCTCATGGCAACACAGATCTCACACATTCTCTATGTCCCCTCTTCTCTGTTCTGTTTCCTGTATTCATTCTTTAAAAAAAAATATTTTTATTGATTCTAGATAGGAAGGGAGAGGGATAGAGAGATAGAAACATCAATGATGAGAGAGAATCATTGATCCTGCATGCCTCACACTGGGGATCGAGCCCACAACCCAGGCATGTGCCCTGACCGGGAATTGAACCGTGACCTCCTGGTTTATAGGTCGACGCTCAATCACTGAGCCATGCTGGCCGGGCCTGTATTCATTCTTAGTACAAATGAAGTAAAGACCTCTGGGAAAACGTGCTTTTCCCCGTTGCACCTCCTCTACTTGGTAGTCTTCTTAAGCAATAGACTCTTGCAGTAGATAGTCTTCCTTCCTGAGCAGCTCAACCTCTGCAAAGACATTTTCTTCACTGCATCCATTTCCTGTGATGCTGAAGGCCACCACAGGCCGCTGAATGACCTGAATCCAAAGTAGGGTTAGGAGGAGGCCGTGGCAGCTCTTTTCCTTTTCCCCTCTCCTCTCCCCCATCCAGGAGAGACAAGACCAGACCCCTCTGCCAAAGGCTCTTTGCATACTCTGTGGGTTTAAACAAATTTTTAATGACATTTATTCATTATAGTATACAGAGCACTCCCATTGTCTTAAAAATCAGTATGTGCATTTTTAACGCTATTCTAAGTTTGCAAGAACCACTTTTTTTTCTGTAGCTATCAGAAGCGTTTGCCAGCGCTATGCCTGGTCTGATTTGAATAGTTTGTTATTCTCCCTGTGTCCTATCCATGTACTTCTTCTCCCTGGAATGGATGGGTTTTGTGAACTAGTAGTAGTTTGTGGATTTATTATTTTTGTTGTGTGTGTGGGATGTGAATGGTATGGGGAGGAGACTCAGTTTCTCCTGACCTCTTGCTCAACAGCCATCACTATCTGGGCCTTGTAACTCCAGTAGGTTTTGGTCTTGCTGTACTACAAAAGCTGAGCCTGAGGATACAGGTGGGACAGGGGAAAGTCCTCTCAGCCAGAACTGCTAGGTTTTGAGGAGTGATTGGTTTCTTCCTCTTAGAGGGGGGAAAGCCCTTTTCATGGTACACTGTAAACTCCCGGCCGCAAGAACGATCAGGTCTGGACTAGTGCCACTTGATGCACAGAGTGCCTGAGGACCCCAACATTGGCGCTTAGAGGACTGACTTTCCTGGGAGCCAACGCCACAGTCTGGTATTTTAAAGGAATGCAGGGTGCTGCCAATATAACTGAAGGGGTAGATTTATTAAATTCTTTAAATCTGTGATTGGTTATTTCCCCCTTGGCATTTTAAGATCATAAATTGAGTAAGGGTGCATGGTTTCAAAACAAATGTTGCCTTAAAATATCACAATTACACACATGAGCTGTGTTTTGTTTTGTTTTGTTACCAATAAAAGGAAGGAGAAACGTTTCATTATACCTCCCTCCCTCCTTCTCTCCCTTTCTTCCTTCCTTCTTGTGCTTACATGTGTATTTGGTGGCAGTGTTATTTAAAAAGAGTCTGATTGCCCAGCCCCTGTGGCTCAGTGGTTGAGTGTCGACCTATGAACCAGGAGGTCACAGTTCAATTCCCAGTCAGGGCACATGCCCAGGTTGTAGCTCAATCCCCAGTAGGGGGTGTGCAGGAGGCAGTCAATCAGTGGTTCTCTCTCATCAATGATGTTTTTATCTCTCTCTCCTTTTCTGAAATTAATAAAAATATATATATTTAAAAAAATAAAAAGAGTCTGATTCTTTTGACTTAAAGTATTGCTTTGGCTACTTTGAGACTAAAAGTGCTGACTAATCAGTTAATTTCTAGGCAATATTTCAGCCTTTACAATAGTTTTGATAAGATAGAGGCATCCAGACCCCTGGGAAAGTGAGAGTTCAATAATTGATGTAGTTTTTAGTATTAATTGCTTAGTGGAATTTGTGTGATTTTTCTGGCCAAATGGTTTCTTAAAATTTTTTGTAGAATTACTATTTGATAGAACTAGATTATATAATAGCTACTCTCTATGAATTAGTAAAGGTTTCTTTGGATTTAAATTTCTTGGTGTTGGTGACAGATTTTGCGTATTGTCTTACGGAAATTTGACTTCACAAATTTTTGTTTTATTGAACTCAATATAATGAAGTAAGAAGCATGAAACTGGTTTAGTGTTTTCCTCTTGATAAGGCAGAATGGGTCTAGAGCAGTGGTCAGCAAACTCATTAGTCAACAGAGCCAAATATCAACAGTACAACGATTGAAATTTCTTTTGAGAGCCAAATTTTTTAAACTTAAACTATATAGGTAGGTACATTGTTATTAACTTAATTAGGGTACTCCTAAGGCTTAGGAAGAGCCACACTCAAGGGGCCAAAGAGCCGCATGAGGCTTGCGAACCACAGTTTGCCGACCACGGGTCTAGAGCAATTCCTAGTCCCAGGAAGAATGGTTGGTTAGTGCTGACTTTAGCAGATGCATTTATAGAGGTTTGAAAGAGAAAGGCAGCCTTGGGTGTAGCAGCAGGCAGTTTTGTGAATTATTAAAGGACTAGAAGCCTGTTCCACGAAGATTTGCACAGTAGGCCTTCCTTCCCCTGGCTGCCAGCACCTGGGACCCAGGCCTTTGGTCCAGCCACAGCGAGTCTTGGCTTCTCTTCTCTGGCTGCAGCAGCGAGGCTTGGCTTCTCTGGTTGGGCCGCAGCAAGGTTTGGCTTCTCCGCTCCGGCTGCAGTGGAGAAGCCAAGCCTCTTCAGTCTTCAGTCATCTTCAGTCTTCACTCTGTGCCTGCATATGCAAATTAACCGCCATCTTTGGTGGATTAATTTGCATACTCATCCTGATTGGCTGGTGGGCATAATGGAGTGACACCAATTTGCATGTTTCTCTTTTATTAGTGTAGATAATTAACAACAAAAAGGGTAAACTGTGATCTCATACAACTATAAATTGAACACATCAAACATTTTATGTGTGTCATTAATGAGGGAACCAGTAAGATGTTACAAAAAGTTCAAAGATTTCATAAAATACACATAGAACAGTAGGAATGCTGACAGGAATCTACAAACACAACAATGGTCACTACTCATAAGGAGTAGTTAGCTGCATTTCCATAGAACACAGGTTTTATTTTTGTAGACAGGAGTCATTTGCGTTACTGTCATTAGTCTACAATTTACAGAATGTAAAATAGCCTGAGACCATGAAAGGTGGAGATAACACAGTGTGCTACACAAAACATCTAGGAATCTTTTATTTCCCCATTTTAAAGTCTTTCACAACAGAGTCTTCTAAAAGCTATCTAATCCCTCTTTCAGCCTCTAAGCCTGCTTACCTTTGTCAGGCAAGTCAAACATCAGTCATTGTTTTAGGAATGGCTCAGAAAAATGATTGATTGTCCAGTCTTTTGTCTTTTTGAATGAAAGTCACAGTTTTTATAAACTTTTTTATTTCCTGAAGCAGGGCTACCAATAAGATTGAGCCAATTGTACCAAAGTTGTGCCTGGCCAGTGGTCTGATACCTAGGGGTTTGTCAGTGGGGTTGAATCTGTCCTGAGAGGAAATCTTTTCCTAATTTCCATGAAATTCCAAGATGAACTAGTTATCCCCTGCCTCAAAAGACATGGTTTGTTTTTGTTGATCTTAGTTCTTAGGGTTATAAATAAGTGTCAGTCATCCTAATTTTAGTTTTTCTTTCTTTGCAGGTTTTCTCACAGAGACTGGAAAAACCAGAGCAAGTACTATTTTTTCTACAGCAACTGAATCTGCCCTCCAAGTTACACAGATCAGAATTATGGTAACTCTTCTGTTACCTTCTTTAAGCAATATTACTACTGTTTTTAAAAATAGGGTTACAGTTCAGAGGTCCATGTCATTGTTTTTCATTGAACATTGAATGATTTTTATGTCAGGCCTGTAGCAGAGGGCAGGGACACAAAGGTGAATAGATTCTTAAGCTTGTGAATGGTGTGAATATAGGATTGAGAAAGGTAAGGAATCATTTCTTAGGATACAGCTTTCCAACTTTTCCAGGACTTAATGTATTTGATTTCTCCTGTTCTTCCATTTGGGGCATGTTTCTTTGTCTCCCCATTTTGGCTGCCTCTCTGTATTTGTTTCTATGTATTAGGTAGATCTGTTATGTCTCCTAGTCTTGGTAGGGTGGCCTTACGTAGTAGGTGTCCTGTGGGGCCCAGTGGAAGTGTCCTTGATCACCTGAGTTAGGTGCTCTAGGAATGTCCCTTGTGTGGATTATGTGAGCCCTCCTGTTGTAGTTGAGTCTTTTTTTTTTTTTACTTCTTTATTTATTCTTTTTTAATTTTTTTAATTTTTATTTAATTTAATTTATTTTATTGCTTAAAGTAGGCAGCTCTACCTCTGTATCTATTATTGTTCACAAGTTTATATGTAGTTGAGTCTTGATTGCTATTGGTCTGTCTGTGGGTGGAGTTGACCCTCAGGCTGGCTGACTATAAGGATTGACCACAACCACAGTGTATGAACTGCTGTGCAGGGGCTGACACCACAAAGTGAAATTGGTCCCAGAAAGGTCTGGTGTCTGCTGAGATCTCCCATTGAGTGTGCCACTTGTGGAGCTAATTGGGTCATGCTCTGATGTGGTCTGAAGCTGCCACTGGGTTTGTTTGTTCTGGGTGTGCCTCTTGGGAGGGACTCTTGTGCAGGTCAATGTCAAACTCTGTCTGTAACTGGCCCTGAGCTACCCATTAGGAGCTACAAAAGGTTCTATGGTTTGGTGGTTGCCTCTGCTGGGCCTGGGTGTGTGGGGGAGGGGCCAAGCCATGTACTAAGGCCAGCTTCTCTCGGTGTTGAGTCTGGGGCAGGTCAGCAAAAAGCCCAATGCACCCTGAGACCTGGCTCCCACCTGCCAGGTGCCTGTTAGGCTCAGCCATTGAAAGAGCCTCTGGTGGTACACAAGTTCCATGAGGCAGCTTCAAGGCCCCAGGCAGATTCAGACTTGGCACCAGTGCTGGGTCTTCAGCCACTCAACAAGTCTCAGAGCACCCCAAGGCCAGCCACTCTCTGCTGGGGGCTGTGGCCCTCTGTAGTGAGGCAGGGTCTCTCGGAGCCATCAGGTGAGGCCAGTAGAGTGCCTCAGAGTAAAACAGATTTAAGATTTGGCCATGTGGAGGGAGGTCTCTGCAGGAACAGTGACACTGGATTAGGGTATTTGGGGGAATAAATGGCCTTTGCCCTAGAACCACAATACTCAGTCTTTTTTTTTCAATATATATTTCTTTATTGATTTCAGAGAGAAATGGACAGGGAGAGAGAGAATCATTGATTGGCTGCCTCCTGCACACCCCCCACTGGGGATCGAACCCACAACCCAGGCATGTGCCCTTGGCCAGAATCGGACCTGGGACCCTTCAGTCCACAGGCCGACGCTCTATCCACTGAGCCAAGCCAGCTAGGGCAGTCTTTTCCTGTGCATCTCTGACACCCCCTGAAAGACTGCAGCGGGCCCAGGCTACTTGCAGCTAGCTAATTCCTCAGCAGTGCAGGAGCTTGGCTGGGTGGGGCCACAGAGAGGTGGGAGATTGGGACTAGTAGATCTCCCATGGGGGGTGTGGCAGTGTTCAAGCTGGGGGAGGGGAGAAATGGCCCCAGAGTCACAGGTCAGTCTTTCTCTATGTGTCTCTGACCTGAGTCTTCCCAGACCTCCTCAGGAGCCTTCCAAGGAAGACTGCAGTGGGCCCAGGCTTCCTAGCTGATTCCTTGGCAGGGCGTGAGCTTGGCAGGGCAGGGCCACAGGGAGTTGGGAAGGTGGGGCCAGTAGATCTCCCTAGGAAAGATGGTGTCTGTGGGCAGTGTGGGAGAAGGACTTAGCACAGAGACAATGGCGGCTGTCCCTCTAGCCCTCTCCCTAAGGCCATACAATCAATCTCTCCCTGAATAACTCCTGTTTGCTCTGAGTAGTCATCCTTTCACTGGATGAGTACCCGAGAATGAAATTTTGTACTTTGGCCCTGTAAGAGGGACCCTGGGTTTCTAGCAGACTCCCTGCTGATTTTCATATCCAGTTGTTATGGAGCTCCTCTTCCTGGCTCTGTACTCTGGGCTGGGGAGCCCAGCTTGGGGTTGAGACCCCTTGCTCCTCAGGGGAGATCTTTGCAGCTGATATATTCCTCCGGATTCTCAACTGTGATGTGTGGGTGCAGGGCCAGTCCTTCTTGAATCTCTGTCCTTCCTACCAGTTGCAATGTAGCATTTTCTCTGTGTCCTTAGTTACAAGACTTCTGTTAGTTAGTCCTCAGTTGGTTATTCAGGTTGATTGTTTTATATTTTAGTTGTAATTCCAATTTGTTTCTGGAGGAGGTAACTTTCACTTACTCTGCTGCCATCTTGGATCTCCTAGGACTTAATGTATTTGAAAGATCATTTTGTTGGTTTGATTTTGTTTGAAGCTATTTGAATTTAACCATGTTACTTGGAAAGAAAACAGCCACAGAACTTTGCCCTTCTGCTGTACTTTATCTAGATCTCTGTTTCCAGGTTCGACGTGGCGGCATTGGTGCCCAGTGTGGGTTGATATTTGCCTATAACTCATCTTCCGATAAATTTCATGCAGAAGAACACTTCAAAAGGTTTGAAAAATATGACAAATGGAAACTTAAGGAATTCAGGCAATTTGTAAAAAGCAGGTAAGGAACAGAATAAAAATTTAATAAGATTGTATACATTCTTTTATTGGTGAAATATGCTTTCTTGTCCTTGTAGAAAATGTGCCACTAACCCACCCTCAGTGATCACGAGCATTCATTGCTTCTAATAGCATATGTGAAGATGTGTATTTTATTTATTTTTTTTAAAATATATTTTATTGATTTTTTACAGAGAGGAAGGGAGAGGGATAGTCAGAAACATTGATCAGCCGCCTCCTGCACATCCCCCACTGGGGATGTGCCCGCAACCCAGGTACATGCCCTTGACCGGAATCGAACCTGGGACCTTTCAGTCCGCAGGCCGACGCTCTATCCACTGAGCCAGACCGGCTTTGGCGAAGATGTGTATTTTAATTTGTTCACAGACTCTCAGGTTGGTCCCCAGGCACACACATTTTCCAGATGTCTGGATAATAGTACACACCTGAATTGTGGGCCACCTGAGCTCTTCAGTCTTATTTAGCTACTTGGAAATTTATCCATACCCCAACCTCCCTCCTTCTAGTCATGCTTTTATTGAAAATATTTATTAAGTACCTACTATGTGCTAGGCCTGTTGCTAGGCACTGAAGATACTATAATCAGCAAATTGACAGTTGCTGCCCTGTGGAGCTTCCTGTTTAGCTCAGAAGCAGAGGATAAAACTGGTAGTATCACAATACTATGAATACTAGGTAGGAGAAGGTAGAGTGTTCTGGGAGCACACAGCAGAGCACCTGACCTGGTTAGAGAAGGCTTCCTGGAGGAAATGTTTATGTTAAGAATTAAAGGGTGAGTTACAGTTAATTAGCCACTTGAAGAAGTGGAAGGAGAAGGTCCTGAGCAAAGATAAGAGCAGATTTGAGAACTCAGAAGTGAGGTATGGAATATTCAAGGGCCAACAGGCCCCATATTGCTGAAGTGCACTGTGAGGTGGAGAATAGTTAGCGATGAACCTGGAGAGCTAGGAAGAAGCCAGGTCATTGAAGGTCTTTTTGCCTCTGTTTCAGGGTTTGGACTTTATCCTTAAAGCAGTGGGAGGGGTGGGTGGGGCAGGGAGTGGGTAGCGTGTGCTGTTGAGGGAATCTAAGAACTAGATCAGGTGTGTGTTTTAGAAGTACACACCTGCAGTGTGGATTGGAGGAGAGCAAGCATGGAAGCAGGATGAAATGCAAGAGGCTGTCACTGTCACCAGAAGGCCAGAGGTGTGGGTGATCTCAACTAGAGCAGCAAGAGCAGCAATGGAGAGATGTGGACTGGTTTAAGAGACAACTAGAAGTTAGTAGCAGTAGGACCTGTTGAGTTACTGAATGTAGAGCAGGAGGGGGAAGAAAGCTTAGGCATCAATGAGTTCTAGGGTCTTGGCTTGGGAAGATGGGAGCATTGGTAGAATCTTTCTATGAAAGAGAAAATACCTCAGGGAAAATAGGTTTGTGGGGGAAGATGGTGTGCTTAGTTTTGGTCCTTTTGAATTTGATATTTTAGGAAGCCTTTGATATATTTGATAGCTAGCTGTATAAATAGGTTAGGAGCCTGGAAGAGAGACATTTGTGCTGAAAGTACAAATACGATAGACATTTAAATGATAACTTTAAACGAATTAGAAGAGGTCCATTCTGGAAGTGTATGGGGGCTAGGAAGAGAAGCAACCTTAGGTCAACATGCTGAGCATTTAAGGGGCAACAGAGGGAAGGAGACGAGAAAAACAGCCGAACAAGCAGGAAAGCTAAGCATGTGTTATCAAGAAGCCAGGTTGAGAGAAGTAGGGAGTGGGCAATGGTGTGGAATGTTACCCAGGAAACAGTAAGATCAAGTCTAGGAGTGGACCTATTGAATTTAATTGCAGGGGTCATTGAGCAGTGTTGCCCCCTTGTTATTAGTTGCAAGTTCAAAATCATGATGCTGAACCCCGGGCTTGCTGTTTTTGCTACGATTTATCCCAGATAATGGGGTGCTGGAGTTAACAGAAGCCTTTAACTATCATCCAGTACTGTATTACTAAGCTTTAATGTACAGATGAATCACCAAGAATTACGTGAAAATGTGGATTTTGAATCAGTAGTTCTGGATGGGGCCCGATACTTTTATTTCTGACAAGCTCCCAGGTGACTCTGATGCTCCCATCCACAGACCACTTTCTGAATAGCAAGAATCTGGAAAAACTCCCTCTCTTTGCTGTATTTCCTTTGGTAGCATCCCTAAAAATGGTCATTCAGCCTCTAGAATACTCCTTTAAAATATTTACATATATATTATAATAAATATAGTTTTATTGATTTCAGAGAGGAAGAGGGAGAGAGAGATAGAACATCAATGATGAGAGATAACCATTGATCGGCTTCCACCTGCACGCCACCTACTGGGGATCGAGCCCACAACCTAGGCATATGCCCTTGACTGGAATCGAACCTGTGACCTTTCAGTCCGCAGGTTGATGCTCTATCCACTGAGCCAAACCAGCTAGGGCAGAATACTCTTTTTTTTTTTTCCTTTTTTTTATTATTATTAAGGTATTACAAATGTGTCCTCAGCCCCCCCCTCCCCCCCAGAATACTCTTAATGATAGAGAATTCACTACACTACAGTAATTGGAATATGTTCAGTTGAAATCTACTTTTATAATTTCAACTCAATGGTCTTAATTCTGCCCTCTTAATAAAAATGATCAAATTTTCCTCACTCCTAAAATCTCCCTATATGTCTCTTTTTTTCAAAGATATTTTTCTTTTAGAATAGTAATTAGAGATTATAGTTGTTTTTAAGTAGCCATGTCTCACTCTTGGGACATATTAAACTAGGTCTTTTTTCCTTAACCTGCTTGTCAAACAAGATCTTTCACTTCTTATGTAGGATGACTTATTTTAACCTCAATATAGGCCTATTTGCTACTCCCTTGCTGATTTTACCTTTGGGTTCAGCCTGAACTACTTTGGAATCCTGATTTGGTTGGCCTACATATTATCAGTGCCTTTCCAGTTTGGAAGTCAAAACTTTAATGTACATGCATCTATCTTTTTGCTTTTTTTTTTTTCTCTGTCCAGACAATGGTCAGTCAGCTCAGGGACCATCTGTTTGGTTGCTGTGTACACTTAACTGCTAATACTCAGCTTGCTTCTCTCCACCTTGCCTGCTGTGTGGTGTAGTGAAAAAGGTTGCTTCTCTCTGCTCTTTGACACCCTGCTACCTCGCTGTATCTCAAAGATTTCCTTGAGCCTCCCAAAGAGTAAATTAAAAAATCCTCAAACACATAATATTGATGAAACAGGATTTTGGGCTAAGACAAAATACCAGCTATCCCATTGGTTTTAGGACTAACTATATTGTGAAAGGTTTATGCTAAGAAGGATTTATGTTAAAGAGAGAACATTTTTTTTTTTCTGTGTTACAGAACCTCCTCTGGATCCTTTGTGTTTTCCCTCTTGCTGTAAATCCTGTGCTTGCTTCTTCTGTCCATAAAGGATATTCATGCGATGCTAGCTTGTTAGCTATATCACAAGCTACATAGTCTGAAGTTAGAACTATTACTTGATAAGACTGCCTTTTCTTTGTCTTGGTTATTTAATTCCTGAAAGGAGTACCATTCAAGTGTCTGGTTTTTATTTTATTTTTAAAATATATTTTTATTGATTTTAGAGAGGAAGAAAGAGGGAGAGAGAGAGAAACATCAGTGATGAGAGAGAATCATTGATTGGCTGCCTCTTGCATACCCCCAATTGGGTATCTAGCCCAAAACCCGAGCATTTGCCCTGACCAGGAATCGAATCGAACCATGACCTCCTGGTTCATAGGTCGGTGCTCTACCACTGAGCCAGGCCGTCTGGTTTTTAAAAAGAAGTGGCACACAATGTGCTTCTTCAGCCTCCAGAGTGCACTGCTTTCCTGGAAGGACTTCTTCAGGAACAGGAGAAAATGCTGAGGCTTCTGCAGGCTGAAGTTTTCCATTTCTGGAGCTCGAGGACCTGGAGGCTGCCCAGCTTTTACCCTTCAGTTGTTGCTAGTGGCCCAAGCCTCGGGCTGCTCAGACATACATTAGCCAGGGGAACAAAACTGAACCTACCTCCCATTTGGTTCTTTCCACAAACACATACCAGCTGTTGCATTGTACCCTACTCCTGAGTAGCTCATCTAAGATGCCTTGACTTCATGTCTCATTCTTCAGATAAACCAGTTATCTAGAGAAGCAAACTTTCTTTTTAGTTCTCAGATTACATTTGGGACTGATAATAATTCCCATTTCACAGATGAGAAGGTTTGAGAAATGGGGAGGAAATTACCACAAACTATCTTATATGTTAATTGACAGGCCATATGTACAAGTTAAATGACACTTACATGATGTCTTATTCATTGAACCCTTGAGAGGTTTAGGAATATGAAAATGTTTGTGATTGCCTTGTGTTTATAGGATCGGTTGCTCACCTGATGATCTTGGAGAGGATGATCCTATTGGCTGGTTTGAGCTGGAAGAAGAGTGGGATGAAGCAGAGATTAAGCTGCAGCAGTGCAGAATTGCCAGAGTAAGCATTATTGAGTTGTGGCCTTCATGTATTGGCCCACTCCCCTCCTTTTATTCTGTAAGTATTTGTCGAATGGTTATTGTGTATCAGCCATGTGCCAACCCAGGAACCCATGAGGTGAATCAGACATGATTATGACCCTCAAGGAGTTTATAGTCTAATGCAGTGGTTCTCAACCTGTGGGTCGTGACCCCTTTGGCGGTTGAACAACCCTTTCACAGGGGTTGCCTAAGACCATCCTGCATATCAGATATTTACATTACAATTCAT